CAAATGAAGATTAGTTCTTATGTGATTAGAATATTATTGATAATACAACAAATCACTGTATTGAGTCATACTTGAGTAGACTCAGAAGCTTACATTTCTAGCATTTATATTTGGGGAAAACCAATTTTACTTCAATTCTCAAGGTTTACAGTGGTTTCCATTACAAAGAAAAGTTCACTTGAACTCATAAATTGTAGGTGAGTATACTAAGCTGCAAAATTTCCTCAAAAGAAAGTAGATTGGGCATAGAGGATATTACAGTAACTTTCCATCCTGCAGCTCTACACTTGAGTGGATTTCAGAATAGAAATAGGAAAAACAATGTAGTTTTTTTTTTTTTTAATATTGTTTCCCAGGAGATTTTCCCAGGAACTTGGAGACCTATGCTACCCTTCTTGGAGCCACTGCATTTTCTAATACTGCAAACTCTAGGTCAAGTCTATTCTCAATCATCTGATCATGTCTTGGGAAAGGATATAATTAGCTGTACATCAGATGCTATTAAAAGATGACATCATTATTAAATTTAAGGAAATGTGGGGCATTGCCATTCTTTGTCTTATTTAGATGATGAGCTAGTCTTTGTGACTTCCTTCTCTCTCTTTATAGCCAAATCATTAAATCAGCTATTTCCTATAACTGTGGCAAAATCACTGAATCATCATTGACTTAAGTTGGATCTACATTGAAACAAAGGGATAGAATTGTGGATCAGTCTTTTTAAAGATACAATTCTTAATGCTTTGAACTTTTTTTAAAAATAAAAAGTGAACATTTTTCCCCCACAATCTCCAGAGTTCCATTATGGTTCCTAACAGCAATTTAAATAGTATATAACTAAATAGCCTTGGATTCTACGAGAAACAAAAAACACTTCTGAAATGTGTTTTGGGTTAACAGCGGTCAACTGCCAGTGAACTACAGATGATTAAAGTTGAAGATGTTTTATGGCTCAGAAAAAAAAAGATAGAAGTCCTTGGACTAGAAAGGTCTTCAAGTTAATATTATTGCTCCCTGGTACTTAAGCAAATGCAATAAATCGATTATTTTTTAGTGGAACAGGTTAAGAGGAGAGATGCTATTACGTGTTATTTGAAAATTGATTTCATTTGCAGTTACTTTCCCAGCTAGGTTCACATTCTTGGTTTCATTTTAGCACAGATTAGGAAAAAATAGAGGGTAGAAGACAGAGACAGAGAGACAGAGACGAAGAGAACTTTGAAAAAAGCATAATCTAAGCAAACTACAGTAAAAAGTGTGAAAAGTGGTATCTGCACATTATGAACACAAAAGCTCTGTCAGTCAGTATGGACTTTTATAGAAGTAAAAGAAAGTAAAAGAAAGCCATAAAATGCTTTAAAAGGTGTGTGTGTGTGTGTGTGTGTGTGTGTGTGTGTGTGTGAAATTCACTTAACTAGATAGTTCTGGGATTGTGCTATTCCATGCTTATTTCAATAACTCAATGACTTAGTAAAGGACCCCATTTTTTTTCTACGATTTTCCAATCAAATCGTCTCTCCTCACTACACATTAATCTCACAGTTGTTACAGTTATCCTGCATAGTCAAATTATTTTTTGAAAAATGCCTTATTTTATTATTATGCTCTCCTGCTCAAATATTTAAGTAGATTCTACATATAAAAGTATTCAATATGTGAATATTAAATATAAATCTGACAATCTAGTTCTCCTCCTTTATTGCCTTGTGTGAGGAATGTTCTTATTTTTGAGGGCCAATAATAGATGTCTTTTCCCAGATCTCTGTCCAGAGATATCCTGTATAATTAGGATTACTAGGCTGGCTACTTTTTTAATGACATTATGTATGCTCCCAATTTAAGTCTCACAACAATCTTGTGAGGCAAGTTACTATTTATTGTCTTTAAGATGAGGAAACAAGATCTAAATTCCAATCAATAATCTGAGTATTTTAAAAAATGTAATTGTAGAGAAAGAATTCAGACTCCAATGATTGGACCCAGAAAGTATAAGTTCAATCTTTCTTTTCTTTTTGTTATTTTTAGGATTTTATTTCAGAATTTTCATTTAAAAAAAAAAGTAATTATTAAGCTGGGCGCCCGTGGCTCACGCCTGTAATCCTAGCTACTCAGGAGGTTGAGATCTGAGGATCACGGTTCAAAGCCAGCCGGGGCAGGAAACTCTATGAGACTCTTATCTCTAATAAACCACTAGAAAACCAGAAGTGGTGCTGTGGCTCAGGCAGTAGAGTGCTCGCCTTGAGCTGAAGAGCACAAAGATAGCACCCAAGCCAAGAGTTCAAGCCCCACGACCGACCAAAAAAAATAGTAATTATTGTAAAGGTGATGTAGAGGAGTTACAGTTACATAAAAGAGATGAATAGTGTTACCCCCTCCCTCATTTTATGTATTTCATTGGAAAATAATTTATTCAAGAGATATTAGTTAAACATCTATCCTATGCCCCAGTCTATAATCTAACCATGATGTTTTAAAGATTTGCACCATCATGACTTGTATTCATAGATGAAAAGGAAGCATTATGAAACACTGTGATAACAGAAAGAATCAAGGACATCTGTAAGCTTGTCCAATCTTGGAGTGATACTTGCTTTATTGTGTGTTCCCTCATATATTCTCAGATATTCAAGTTTTCTAGTTATCCTTATCTATATTTCCAACCTTTGTAAATGACTTTTCTCTATTATGTTTTACTCACCTCATGAAGGAACCTGTTTCTGGATCAAATAAATTTTTAACATTGAACTCGTTGTTTTACTTTTTTTTTTTTACTTCAGCAAAAGAATAATTGAAATTTCATTAGCCTAACTTCATTTTAAATTTAATTTATTATGATAGGGGAACATACAACTTCACTTTTTTGGTCAATAATTCTGTAAGAGTTTTCATTAAAACAATAGAATTGTAGAAACAACACACTATTTTTTTCTTTAGTTATTTATTCATTCACTTATTATTTATTACTCACTTTCCTAGTGCTCAAACTCAGGAGTTTGTGCTCTCCAGTGTCCACACCTCCAGTTCTGATTCTTTTTATTACTATTATCAAGGAGTTGTACAAATGGGTTAAAGTTCCATAAGTCAGGACAATGTCACCCCTTACTTCACTTTCCCCCATTTTTCTCCTCCAGTACCTGGCCCTTTCTGAGACAAAAAAGAGCCTAACAATAAATAACAACAAACAAAAACATGTTTCAATTTCCTGAAAATTGTTTTGGTAAGTAGTAAAGTAGTATTTAATTGCTCAGAGGAGTTAAGCCTTTTGGTTCCTCATGAGTGTTATCTTCCTTCAGTGTGTTTGATTGTTTGTAAACACATAGAGCCCTATACACATTGTCATATCCAGTTGTGGTTTAGCTCTAGCTTCAACATATGAGAGAAAACATGACCCATTTGTCTCTCTGGATTACCTCACTTAACATGATTTGCTCTAGGTACATCCAATTTTTTACAAGTAACACAATCTTATTCTTTCTCCTGGATGAGTAAAATTCCATTGCATATATATATATATATATATATATGTATATGTGTGTGTGTGTGTGTGTGTATATATATATATATATATATATATATATATAAAATTTTGGATCCACTCATCTATTGTGGAGCCTCTGGGCTGTTTCCATAACTTGGCTATTGTGAATACTGCTGCAATGAATATGTATATACATGTGTATTTACCTTATCCTGACGTCACATTCTGGGGAGATGCTCAAGAGATACATTCTGTTTTTATGTGTGCTCTTCACTATTTCAGAACTTCGGGAAACCAAGACATCTGAACACTTCAGCCTATCCCACCACCCTTTAGACTACAGGATATTACTAATGGATGAAGATCAGGACCGGATATATGTGGGCAGCAAGGATCACATTATTTCCTTGAACATTAATAATATCAGCCAAGAACCTTTGAGTGTAAGTTTTTCATTTTCATGAGGACAATGTTGAATCTAAATGCTTTAACAAACTTTAAATATAATGAAGAAAATATATTTATTTCACTATAATAGAATAGAAAATACCTGTCACATATGCACACATTCATATTAAGGAAATTAGTTCTTATTTCACAACTGGAAATGTATCAACTTCAATTCTCCCCTTTAGCTCTAAAATCTAGAGCTAAAGTAGAAAATACTTCTTGCACATTTACATCAACAAAGGAAATGTAGAACATGAGAAAATGATCAGATTAAAGAAACCTTGTAATCTACGTAAAATCCACACAGAGTTTAAAAGGAATACACTAAGGAAGTTATTTAACGAGTATGCTTACATTTACCATACTGTTACCCAACAAGGAAGCAAACTTGAGCTTTATTAGAGTAAATAAATAAAAGAAGATTGACTGCCAGGTACCAGCAGCTTATACCTGTAATAAGGTACTATGATTTTGAGGTACTAAGGAGTTTGAGATTTGAGGATCACAGTTTGGAGCCAGTTCAGGCAGGAAAGTCTGTGAGGTTCTTATCTCCAATTAACCACTAAAAAAATCTGGAAGTAAATTTGTGACTCAGGCGATACATCACTAGACTTAAAAATCATAGGGACAGTATCCAGGCCCTGAGGTCAAACCACAGAAGCAGCATGCATACATGTGTGTGTGTGTGTGTGTGTGTGTGCATGCACACACACACACACACACACAGCATAGATTATTACAGGAAGTTGATTTCTGAATTCATTATATTAACATAGCAACAGGCTGACAACTCAGAAGACCTGACCCAAAACTGCGGTGTCTCAAAAGACTGGCGCAGTATTCCTCACAGAGAATCTCTTGGATTGTATCCAAGTTATTTCAGTTGCTCAGTTACATAAAGGTTCATGTTAGTAAAAATCTATCCATCCAGTTGTGTGGTTTACCACAAACAATATTAAATTTAGATGATAACATAAACATAAATTCTGAGGTTGAGCAACATAGTGTAAGTCAGACGGAAGGAATTTTTGTGCACATTTGTATGAATAAGGGACCTTATATAATATACAATTTTAAATGGCTATGTGTTACTGTAAGGCTTTGGTAAAGAAATGACTGATTGGAGGACTAAGAGGCAAATATTGAATTAACAGTAGAATATTAAGTGACTGTGGGCATATGAATTTTCAAGTAGAAATACAGAAATACAAAATACCTTGAAGAAATCTGCTAACAGAAAGCAAATGAAGAGCATTGAGCTGTCATACATCTGAGTGACTTTATATTACTTTATTTCCTTTCTGAGCAGGTTTTCTGGCCAGCATCTACAATCAAAGTTGATGAGTGCAAAATGGCTGGCAAAGATCCCACAGTGAGTACTTTTAAGACAAATAAAAACATACAAATGTTTGTTTGTTTTTTAAGTTCATGGCTTTAAGTACAACCAAGAAGGTGTTTGAAGACCTTGACTGAATGTATGTTAAAAATGTAAATGTGACAAGATTGGAATTCTCATGCCATCTGCAATTTTAGAATATCTGACTAGATAGAAATTTTCTGTCTTGCTTTCATTATCTTGCGCAGACATTTTTGTGATGGATTTCAGTAATAAACCCTGTTCCAAGTGGATTCAACCTACAGAATTCTCAGCAGGCTGCTGAAATAATGATAATGCAAGTGGCTGGAGCGCTCCCAGATACCATGCAGGCTTTCCCAAAGATTCCCCGTGACAAACTAGTGGTAGTGGGCACATTCCTGAGATATAAATCAACAGTGTTGAATGGTACCTTTGTTGATTAAAAATAACTACAAAACCACAATCAATGCATATAGAAGTTTCAATAAATATTCACCACAACACTTGCATGACTTACATTTCTTTAAGTGGGATTCAATATAGAGTCAGGCAAGAAATCTGTATTGATTTCTGTGAACAGCTTGCTGACATAGGCACATTTATTTATTCTTGAATATTACAAAGGAAATGTATGGAGCTGGTGTTCACTGTGAACAGTGTTTAAGACAAGTTTATATATGATCTTATAAAAATAATATATAATGAAATCAAATATTAAATTATCTATTCTTTCAAATAGTATGTTGAGGAGTTTCCTTAATTTTCTTATTCTTTCAAGTTTGTTTTTGGTAAGCATTATTCACTAATAATAAATAATATTTAAGTACCTTTTGAATAATTTGCATAGTGTTGGTTGTTAGAGACACAATCTGGACTAAATCAGGAATACCTATAACTTTAATTAACTTCGCTTACTGCTTTGGAAAAATCACCATCTTTCATATGAACATGAAGATACATGCTAAGTAGGCAAGGAGGTAGCCTCTACATGGTGACAGAGTCAAAAATCTAGTAAATTGACACACATTTTCTAAGATCTGATGTCATATGATTTGAAATTAGGGTGAAAATGTGACTGAGCACATATTTTTCCAGTAAAGGCAAGGAATGCTCATGAACATAATGTTTGTAGCAAATGTTCTATGATTTATCATGCTAGGCCAGGCCTGGGTGTTGGGGAGAAGCAACACATATTCTTTATGAAGTAAAATTGATATCTGATTTAGTCTAAAGATAGTCACTAAGGTAAAAGCACCAAGAAGTCAGATTCAAAGTAGAACCACACAATACTCTGCAATTTGCATCTCTGAGTATCACTCAAAAAGTCTTGGCAAGAGAAATTACCCAAAGTGATTGAATTGTTGGTCTCCCTTTTTGGATATTTCATCCAAGGATTGCTCTTTTAAAGAGGGCAGAGTAACCTTGCTAAAGCATATACACTACACTATCTAAGGAATTTCCTGGACCACAGTCTAGAGGAGGGGAAATCCAGAAAAATAAGAAAGAAATATTGAAAAGTCCATTAAGACATGACATATGGTCTTTCAAGAAATTAACAGTAGGATGGAGTATCATATTGTAGAGAATGTTTTGTGCCCTGAAGCAGTTATTTCAATAATTGAGAAATAATTAAACTATTGTCTTTGAGTCTCTAAAGAACAAGATACACATCTGTTGTTTTTGTCACATAATATCTTGTAGCTATGTCATTGGGTTTATATTTTGTTCAAAAAGATGTTCATTTCTCAGCCATAGAAACTGCATAGGTAATATAGGGAAACTATACACACCTTTGTGTATTCTCTTTCCCAAAACCACAAGTTGACTTTCTCAAGAATCTTAGCTAAATCAGTTGATCTCTTGTTCCATTTGGTAAAGCAGAACCCCTCTATTGTTGCTTTGTGGTAATTAAAAAAATTATCTAGTAAAATCTTTGGTACATGCTTACATTTTCCCATACTTTTGTTATGCTATAATATCATTCACAAGTATCTTTAAATCCTTCTATATGGCCAATTGGTATACCCATTGAAATAACTAGTAGAAGGATCTGATGTAGATATTACTAGAACTCAACTGGACAGGATTTATTTGTCCATAAAACATTGTGGAGTCCTAGGAAATAATAATCAGATTCTTTCAAACATGTGGTCTGTCTATTCAGGAGAAGAGAATGTCTAACAAATCTAACTCATTGCATATGTGTAAGAGAATCACAGTAATTTAACCACAGAAGAAAAGGCTAGTGGTAAAAAAAGAAAGGTAGTGAGAAGTAGATCCTTGAAAGTTCTACAATTAACTTATTTTGTTTACACTTTTCATTGAAACCAAGTGTTTAGGAGTTTCTTAACAGGATTGGAATAAATTTTTCTTTCTTTCTTTCTCTCTCTCTTTTGTCAGTTATGGAGTTTAACTCAAGGCCTAGACTCTGTCCTGAGCTTTTTTTGCTCAAGGCTAATGCTCTACCATTTTGAGCCATAGCTTGACTTCTGGTTTTCTGGTGGTTAAGATAAGAGTGTCACAGAATTTCTACCAGGGCTGGTTTTGAATCATGATCCTCAGATCTCAGCCTCCTGAGTCACTAGGATTTACAGATATGAGTCACTGGTACCGACCTCATAGATTTCTTTATATGTACATGTACTTTTATAAATGTTTATATGAAATGTTTATTATAAAATCTAAATAAAAAGTTCTTTTTTTTTCTAAAGCACTTTATGGATTGTGAGGAGTGAATACCTCTAAAGGTCTATTCATCTGTACTCCAGGATATGTTTTAAACATGTCTATTTTTATATTAACTAATCAATATATGTTCAATTGAATTTATAAACCTTTAAAAGCTAAGATTAACACATAGAAAACAAACTAAATCTTATAAACTCTGACTTAGAGACCTCACCTCTCTGAGTCTCTGTTTGCTCATCTGTGAAATGTGCTAATTTACAATTGCTATCTTATTTGGTTAAGAGGATTAACAGTTTAATGTTTGTAGAGAGCTTAGGATAGTACCTAGTTAAACTGTGCTCCTAGTGAACTGTGTTCACTATAAACAATTTAGCTGCATCCTTCAAGCATGTTGTATATGTATATATAACAAACAATTACATTGCATTATGCATAATGTTATCAGCTTTATTTTCCATTCGAATAAAACCAAAGAAAGAGAATTAAGCAGTGAAAAGGAGGCAGGCATTGTATTTATTTCCACTAAAGATTCTATTTTTTTAAATTTATGCCCCTAGTCTTTTACTGTGATAAGGATCTCTACTAATGTAGAGATCCACTTTCACAGTTTGTGCAGATAGTATAAGTGGAATTGCAAATAAAAAAATCACTATGTGATTACTGTGTTTATTTGTGCAAAATACTATTCTAACTGCATTATTAAGTGAAGAAAGACTAACTGCCTCAAGTTATGAAAGCTGATAAACAGTGCTGGGCTTGAACATGGGACTTCTGGGTCTGAGATATTAGGGTTTATATCTATTTTCTATTCTTGACAGTACGCTTTACTGCCCATTTAAATACTCAAGCCTAATGACAGCGTAGCTCTTACTGCCTCTCGGGGAGCTATTATTAGTATTAGCAGCTTTCATTCCACAGCAGTCCTCTAACCCTTTTAGGTACTATTCCCCAAGTAAATCCTACATTCTAATGTCTTTACTTTTTGGTCATGCTATTTTCTGTTGAAATGAGCGTTTCTTATGCTTTTTCCTGCCAAAATCTCTAGCTTATTCTACAAGCTCCAGCTGAAATGCAAACTAGCTCAAACCACATTTTCTCTTCTTTCCTTCTATGGTGTACTTAAAACTTAGAGTCCTATTCTAGAACCTATCATAGCCAGATATACTATGTCCTCTCCTTAAGAGGAGATAATGGACTCTTCATTCCAGTGTTGCCAGCCAGTATAGCACAGTGTCTTGCATAGCATGAGTTGAGTAAATATTTGCCAGATGGAATTGACACAGTGGTCTAAGTCAGAAATAATGTGCATACAAACAAAAGAAGAGGCACAGTGGAAAAGCAGAACACCTACAAAATGATTTTCACTAGTGAACTCCACTGATTTCTGTTTCCTTCTGTCCCTTGTATATAGATTGAGTTGAAAGATCTATCCCGGTATCAGATAGTGTGGCAATCTATTCAGCATCTTACAGAAAAGCTGCTCAGTCGTGGTCAACCATTGTTCAGATCCAAGTTCAGTTACTTATTAAGTCTAGAGCATTTTATTTAATCCCTCCTACTCAATTTCCTATTTCTGTGAGAATTAAATTTACATCTAAGGATTAAGGACTTTGTACATAGCAGCTATTGTTGCAGCAGCTATGGAAAATGTTATAAAAGGCTGAGTGCTGTGTCTCATGCCTGTAATCCTAGCTACTCAGGAGGCTGAGATCTGAGGATCACAGTTCAAAGCCAGAGAGTGTAGAAAAGTCCATAGGACTCTTATCTCCAATTAACCACCAGAAAATCAGAAGTGGTGCTGTGGTTTAAGTGACAAAACGCTTGCCTTGAGCTGAAGCACTCAAGGACAGTGCTTAGGCCCGGAGATCACCCCACAACTGACCAAAAAAAAAAAGTACTAATAAATTTTACAAAAGCCACAATGAGTTCCTCAGCCAATAATAAATTATAAAGTGAATAAAAGTACAGCATTCCATGTTAAACCTACTATTGATTAAAAATCTCTTACAGATTCTACCTCTATGATCTCAGACAAGTTAAGTGAAACAAATTGTTAAGCTTTATTTTTCTAAAAGGGACTGGCTTGTTCTAAAAACTTGATTGAATTATATAAAGTAGTTAAGTACCACATAATAAGTGTCCAAAACCATCAGCAACAGGGTGAAAATTGAACTCCTAGAAGCAAAAGAGCAAAATATGTATCATGATTATACTAAATATTTAAAAGTACAACTGTGATAAGAAGATAGGTAGAAAAAGAGATTGCGATTAAATCAAGATTCAAATGAAGACTATCTGCTACTTTTCCTTTAAAGTTCCAGTAATTCATGAAGGCAATTGTTTGCAAAACCCAAGATGAAGACATAACGTGTTATTAATAAAACTGGATTGATGGCCGGGAGCCAGTGGCTCACACCTGTAACCCTAGCTACTCAGGAGGCTGAGATCTGAGGAATGTGGCTCAAAGCCAGCCAGGGCAGGAAAGTCCAGGAGACTCTTATCTCAAAAACTATCAGAAAATCAGAAGTGGCACTGTGGCTCAAGTGGTGGAGCGGTGGAGCGCAAGCCTTGAGCTGAAGAGCTGAGGGACAGCATCCAGGCCCAGAGATCAACCAACACAGATACACACACGCACACACACACCACCACCACCACCAACAACAACAACAACAACAACTGGCTTAAATTCATGTTTGATGGGAAGTTATTCTATGCAGAATTCTGAGTGCCTAAATTTCAATGTGAAAAATGTCCACAAGGCTCCTTGTTCACTGATGTCTTTAAAAGAGACATCTTTTATGCATGCTACATTTCATCTATGATTTTCCATCAAGGAAGTATATTATCATCTGCAGTTATATAATCAGTTTCCAGGTACTTCTATAAAGACATCAAAACACAATAGCATTGTGTATTTAATGAGATACATAATATCTTCACATAAAAATCAAGTGTGTAGTCTAGTCTGTAAAGATAAATATCTTTGACAGTATGTTAATGATTGAAAATTTATAATGGAAACATATGTAGGAAATTATAATGTATGAAAAGAAGCTGATGTTTACTGAGAAGCCAGGAGTATTAAGAAAAGATGAAATAAACTCTGACATACTATTGACTTTAAGTTAAATACAACTTCTATTTTAAGTTTAATTTGCCTTTTTACAATATTTCACATAATACATGTTTCTTATAAAAAAAATCAGAAACATACCTTAGAAAGAGAAATCAACATGTGATGTCTGACCATCTAGGGAAAATCTACTGTTAACTTTTGGTGTATTTCTTCCTAGATTTTAACATAAGCAATTTTATCTATACCAATACAATTCTTTGCAATAATGTTCTTCAAGAGACTTTGGAAAAGGAACAGTGTTCAATCTCAAATTCTGTCGATTTATAATCAGCAATACAACAAGCCTAGCAGTTGTTGAACACATGAGATTAATTCAATTATGCACACCTGCTAGATGACTGCCAACTGAGAATCACAGTAATTGTATGTCAATGAATATCTCCTACTGATAGCAAAGGAAGAAAACACAAGAAAATAAAATGCACACCAAAGGATGTCAATATTGTCTTTACTTCTTGTTAATGTGTTCATACTTGAAAATATTGTCATGTTAATGCTAGGATTACATTAGTGACTCAAACAAAACATAACTAGATCTGATGAGTAACCTACAAAGTTAACCAGTGTGAGGGTCTGTAGAGGAGGGGTGGGTGAGAATATTGAAAAGGGTGACACTGCTCAAGCTATATTGTATTCACAAACTGCTTTGCAAATAAAAGAAAGCAAAATGAGGACATAGATGTTTGCTTTGTTCAACTGAGTTCTGTAAGGGTAAAGTTTTGTTCCCTAAAAATACCCAAAAGATCACACAGGTCATTTTGACTAAGGTTGGTACTCAGTAAATAGTAGCTAATATACTGTTCCTGTGATACTTTTATGACTATTTCTGAGTCTTTTTTTTTTTTTTTTGTCTGTGTCGTCCAGCTTGAACTCTGGGCCTGGGCGCTGTCCCTGAGCTCTTCAGCTCAAGGCAAACATTTTGCCACCTAAGCCACAGCACCACTTGCAGTTTTCTGGTGGTTAATTTCTGGTGATTAAAGTCTCATGAACTTTCCTGCCATACTGGCTTTGAACTGGGATCCTCAGATCTCAGATTCCTGAATAGCTAGTATTACAGGCGTGAGTCACCAGTGTCCAGCTTGGATTAGGGTTTGTTTGTTTATTTGTTGTTGTTGTTGTTTTTGGTTGGTCATGGGGCCTGAACTCTGGGCCTGGGTGCTGTCTCTCAGTTCTTCAGATCAAGGCTAGCTCTTTACCACTTGAGCCATAGTGCCACTCCCGGCTTTTTCTGCTTATGTGGTGCTGAGGAATCAAACCTAGGGCCTCATGCATGCAAGGCAAGCGCTCTACCACTGAGACACCTTCCCAGCCCAAGCTTGGATTTGTTTTAAGAGCACCAAAAATCTTAATGTAAAAATCTTGAATGTAAAATGAATGTACTCAAATTTCCTTTATGAAGTGTCTACATAGTTCCTCAAAGATACGGAATAAAATGCAAGGAATTGAACCTCACTGTTGCTTCTCAGACAAAATCTCAGGATGATATAGTTAGCATAAACAGAAATCAAAGTCATTAGCAAAGTACTTCTTTTTCATTTCCAGCATGGCTGTGGGAATTTTGTTCGTGTGATTCAGACCTTCAACCGCACTCATTTATATGTATGTGGGAGTGGAGCTTACAGTCCGGTTTGTACTTACCTGAACAGAGGAAGGAGATCAGAGGTACGTGAGGCAATTTCATATTCGTAGATGTAGCATTGGCATTAGAGGTTTGATAAATGGTACTTGATAGTAAATGGTGGGAAACATAACCTTAAAATAAGTTCATTTTTTAATATATAATGTCTTACTTTTTATTAATATCTGTCAAAGTTTTTTAGGAGTTAAGGGACTGGCTTTTTGCCATATATATATATATATAAATATATATATATATTCTAATGCAAATAATGGAAAATATAAAAATTGGTAATTTTAACATTAATTTGAATCTAAAGCACTAAAAATATTCTAAATTCTAGAAATACTGTACTATAAATCTTCTCTCTTACATCTATTTTAAGTAATTCTTATTTATCCTAGGAATTTGATAAACCTCTATGAAACAAATATTTATAAGATATCTGAGACAGACTGTTAAATATTTTTGCTTAAAAGAACTTTATACATTAGTGAATTATATATTATCATGGAAAACTAACATGACTTGATAGTAAGCTATTCTCACTTCATTCTTCTAACAGTTAAAATGATATTGGATATTATGGTGTTTGCCAAAGGTTAGTCAAGTACAATAGCTAATGCATAGTCAAATACAAGACTGGTTGAACTTCAACCATGGCATTTAGGATTGTGCTTATTATCCAGTGTAAAACTATTGACTGAGGAAGGTACACATTAAAACAAGTGTTTATATTCATTCTTTTAAGCAAACACATTGTCTTACTTAATATAATTACTTAAAAACTGAATGTTTTAAAACTATCTTTATTTGGTTCACTATGAAACTTCACTTTAGAAAATTTACTTAGAAAATATTTTAATTTGATTTTAGAGATTAGAATTGTGACAAAGATTAAATATTGTTATATTTTAAAATGTTTATTTACTTTCAATAAGGATCAATCTAAAATAATATTAGTATAATTCAACTATGTTTTTTTTCTATGTTCCTTTTAATCAAATTACTTTTGCATACACAGAAATCAAGGCATTTCTAAATGGGGTACACTATGCTATTAAAATATTAACAGTCTTCAAGGGAAAGTTATGCTTGTTGGAAGAAGAAAATTATCTTCATGGAGCTGGTCATTAGAGACACATGCCTGTGATCAATTTGTTAAATAAACTCCTGCCTCAGACGTCTGCAGTCTGTCAGACACTCGGCTGAAGTCTGGGCACTCACTGTGCAGGCCAACAATAGCATTGCAATTTTCAGAGCACAGATTTCAAATAAAATGATTTTCCCATGCACAAATTTCCCACTACACTCTTCAAACCTTAATTAGAAAGTCTATCCAAAAAATAATCTCTTTTGGAAAAACCAGCATGGAATCAGTTTTAATCACTTTGTTAAATATGAAGTATCTTACTTAAGATATATTTCAAAGGGGAAGGCATTTTCATTAACTTAGTCTCTTAAATCATATGTGAGTACCTTATAAAACTATTGAGGTAGGAGTTATGATATTCAAACTGTATGTTTGTATTCAACATATTGTATTCTAGTTAAAAGGTTTTGATATAGCATTATTTTATATATTTGAACTATATACACTGCAATGTAATTGTAGACCTGCACAGTTTTATAAAAGTGTGTGTGTGTATGTGTGTGTGTGTGTGTGTGTGTGTGTGTGTGTGTGTGTGTGTGTTTTCTTCTAGCTAAGGGAAAAAGAGTCTCCTGGCATAAAATGGCCATCTGATTCAGAATGTTTCATTCTGGGAAATCTGGGAATTTCACCACTAACATTTATTTTGAGATGACCAGTAAATAATACTTACAGCTAACACCTGAATCCTTATTAAGTTATGAAATTATTTTGCATATACAAAACCAAACTATAAGTGAATTAGTTGATATTGTCATGTTTACTAATTATTCATTTTGATCTCTGAGATACTATCCTCTTTCACCTATCTTCATAGAAATCTTTAAATCTACAGTTGAAGCACCATATATTTAATAATACCTAATAATGCTTCCTTTATTTCCTAAGTAGGGTTGAGAGCATTACCAGAGCACATCAACTCCCATCCAAAGACTCTATCGTCCATTCTGCATCAGAAGCTTACTGGGCTTCTTTTGTTCACTTTCTTTACTCCATCTTATATTACTATTAAAACATAAACCAACAGAAATAAGATATGACTTCAAAGTAATTGCTAAAAAATGAAGAAAACAGCCAGGTGCTGGTGGGCTCTTACCTGTAATCCTAGCTATTCGGAAGGCTGAGATCTGAGGATTACTGTTCAAAGCCAGGCTGGGCAGGAAATTCCATGAGACTCTTTTTTTCTGTGTGTGTGATGGGGACTGAACTCTGGGTGTGGGTGTTGTCCCTCAGCTCTTCAGCACAATGCTAGCCCTCTACCAATTGAACTGCAGCGCCACTTCTGGCAGTTTATGCTTATGTTGTGCTGAGGAATTGAATCCAGTGCCCCATGCAAGCAAGGCAAGCACTCTACCACTGAGCCTTCCCAGCCCCTCCATGAGACTCTTATCTCCAATAAACCACCAGAAAACCAGAAGGATCCCTGTGGCTCAGGTGGAAGAGTACTACCCTCGAGTTGAAGAGCTTAGAGACAGCATCTAGGCCCAGAGTTCAAGCCCCATGACCACCACTACCAACAACAAAAACAAAGAAGAAGAACAACAACCATTTGTATAATCTTGGTACAAATATTGCAACATCTTTTCTCTGGTTGGTTTTACCTCTTACTATAAAATCTATTGCAACAATCCAATGTCATTGAAGTCCCTGACTCTTCCACTATTCAAGCAGATAACTTTAACTCTAAAGGAGTACCACAGGTGACTAAGAACCTCACTAGCATCCACATTATCCTTTGCTGGTTTAATTACTTAAACTAATCACCAAACTTTTTTTTGGTATCTTTCTGTTGCTTTTCTCCTGTTTCATAAGGAGAAAATTGTATATTTTCCTTATCAATAACACTTTTTGATCCATAATATTTCTCAATGCATTATGTCTTCATCATTTCTTATGTACTTACCTTTTATTTTTCCATTTGAAAGTAGAATTGTCCAGGTAGGCTGATGCTTATAATCCCAGCCTTTGGTGAGATAAAGCAGGAGAATCACAACTTCAGACCTGGCCTCAGTTGTGCAGGGAGACCCTGTCTCGAGAAAAGAAAAAAATTCCTTTCCTTAAAATTACTATCTTAGTTCTGTAAGTTTTTCCAACTATGTTTCTTAGACTAATGAGATTTGTTTCCAGCTTTCATGATTCTTTTCACTATGTCTTTATTAGACATTTCTATTATAACTCTCCCTACCACAGAGTAGTAGAAACTATTTGTAAGATTCCTCAAAGACTACCATTACTCTCAGTATTCCTTCTCTTAAAACAAATTTAAAATGGAACTTTTTGGTAATAACCTCTAATATTCAAAGCATTATATTCTGAAATTGTTTTCTAATTATGTTACCATCTACTCTTTTTTGGTCCATTTTTGTCAATCCAATCCATAATAACTATTTATTTATTGGGACTCAAAGTAAAATAAAGAATCAAGTTGGAACTTGTAGCCAACATTAATTATACAGTTTTACTTTTTTTCTCTTGTTCTACAGCACATGTATGTAGGAACAAGGACAACAAGATTGAGTTTGTTAGTTTTTAGCTACATGGCCTTGAACTACTCATGAGTCTCAGTTAATTCATTAAAAAAAATCTTACCATAAGGTTTTTTCAGCCTTAGAGGATTAACATTTTTAAAGCTTTGTCATTCCCTACTGCCTCTGAGTTTCACTCTCATACATCAAACTTCATGTAATGAAAATGAACTGGCTTTGTTTTTCTTCAAGGAGTAGAAGTGGAATCTGCAGAATAATCTGAAATAAAATCTTGAATTACAGTTTAGAATTGCTTGCCAGCCTCTGTTGATTGTCATGAAATTATCTTATATTTCTGTTGCTCTTACTGTGCAGATTACTTACTGAGATTATAGAAGATCAGACCCTTATTGTCTAATTTATTTACCTATATCTGTACACCTAACACTATTTCTAATCTTCCTAAAGCTCAAGATATAATCAAACCTTAGAAGAGAGAGAGAAAGACAGAGAGAGAGAGAGAGAGAGAGAGAGAGAGAGAGAGAGAGATTGCATGTGTGTGTCTGTGCTTTAAGAGAAAGCCAGTAACTCAGGAAGGGTAGAACCATTGATGTTCCTGGCTCAGCCTCCCTTGTATTGGGATCACAGGTTTGTGACAGTTTGCTGACATTTTGCTGACATTTTGCTGACAGTTTACATCCTTTATTTTCTACTTGCACACATTAATAAATCTATTTCTTCTGGATAATTTTCAAAGCCTTATCCAAACAACTAAACTTTTCCATTATCTGATAAAGCTATAAAAATGATCATTTTTCTTTCAATTTTTGTAGTAGCTAGTACAAACTTTGAGAAGAGTATAAGAAAACATGTATAGCTATGCTGACAAGAGTTCCCTCTTTGATGCTATGCTGACCACCATCTTTCTCAGAGAACCTATTTCTTCAAATCTTTACTCTTCTCTGTTTTGTTTGTCCTTTAGTTTTTCTCCTAAGCAAGGGGTACCACCCATTACTTATGCTCTTTATTATCTGTCTTCCTCATGAGATTGTAAATATTTGATGACAAAGTTGGTTTTTGTTCTTTGTTACTGTTGTTGTTGGTGTTTTTGGTGCTAGTCCTGGGGCTTGAACTCAGGCCTAGGTGCTGTTGCTAAGCTTTTTTGCTCAAGGATAGCACTCTACTACTTGAGCCACAGCTCCACTTTTGCCTTAGTGGTGTTTAATTGGAGATAAGAGTCTCTCAGACTTTCCTGCACTTGTCTGGCTTTGCACCCAGATCTTACTTTCTGAGTAGCTAGGAACACAAGTGTGAGTCACTGGCACCCAGCAACAAAGATTATTTTTTCATTTTCCTTACTGTAACTCCATTGGCTAATCATATGTCTGGTACATGTTCTATAATCTTTTGTTAAATAAACATAATAACAAAATAGTGACATATTTTAATCTACATTATTTGTTGATCTTATACAATGCTTCACATAGCAAAATTATATGGCAAAATATTTTAACAAATATTTCTTAGAAAAGATTGTATTACTTATAAGCAGTATTTCTCTGTGGAAAGTTTTTCTTCCTTTGTCCTATTTCGATTGTATTTAGAGTGAGCTATGATTTTGATGATGTTGATTTGAGGAGAATTACTGCTTGGATCTGCTCTGTAGGGAGTATAATAGGATAAGAACTAGCTCTGCTGAGGTTTCCTAGTTATTAAGAGATGTATTCTTCTTACAAGACAAGTCATTCTTAACACAGCAAATTGGGTAGACATAAGCAACCAAGTAGAAAGTGAATTGTTTTTGATTATGCTTTGTTTTTACCAAAGAACAATTGTCTTAGCACATTATTGCTACACTTTATTATACATATACTAAAATGTTGTCATATGATATTTTATCCGCAATAAAGGACCAAGTTTTCATGATTGACTCCAAGTGTGAATCTGGAAAAGGACGATGCTCTTTCAATCCCAATGTGAACACCGTGTCTGTTATGATCAGTAAGTAGGATATAAAGAATTCGAAATAATGGTGCTTTTATATAAGCTTTTTATATTATCATGTTTGTGTACTTGGTTATCCTTCTGAGATTATTTCAGTAGTTTTTGTGGTTATCTCACTTGACTGTATTATTGGGATTGTCATGTCTATTCCACTGCCATGATTGACATAACTCAGTCTGGTTAACATGCTAACATCTATTAAATGCCAAGAAACATTAATAATCAGAAGAATTCACATCACAATATTGATGCAGTATCTAATCCATTAATCAAGTCCAATGTTGTCTTATTATTTGGAGATCAACAAAGAAGTCAGATGTTATCTTTTTTTTTTTTAGAAACTTGACTTTGTAGTCAGTGAAAGGACAATTGGGAATCAAAAATATTTGCGCTTAAAGTAAAAAGGCACATATTTATCTTTGCTTAAATCCTACAAAAAAATCATCACCAAAACTTCTTAAAATGCTTTCCAAAGTGATATTTCATTAAATCTTTTTATTTATAGAACATAAAGCAGGAACTTCCTAATGTCATACAAGAAACACTGAAAATTCCAAACAGGAACTGAAGCTAATTAAACATGCCAACACGAGTAATGTTTAAGTTATAAAAACATTGTAATATGCAATAGGATTAGGTCATCTCTATACCTACCTTTTCACATCCTTTTCTTTTTTTCTTCTTGGGAACAGAACAGCAAGAGTTGGTAATCTGTAGTTTTGTGGCGAAGTGGCTATAACAAAATTGGATCGATTAATAACACATATGAATTTAGTAACCAAATCTCTGTATATATCTTGACAAATATTCATAGACGGTTACATTGAAATTTTTAAAGGCCTTTTTGTTCATTTTTATCTCCCTACAATCTGTTTCCATGAACTTTGGCCCCATTTTGCTCCAAAATATTTCCCACACAGACTGGCTCCTTGGTAGGGATGTGTGCAACGCGGTGAGCACATTCTAGAAACATTCCATTCTCCAGTCGATTCTTGTACAACTCGTATGGCTTATTCGTAAGTAGTGAGACTAAGCTGACTGTTCAAATGTTATAGTTCTGACCACAACCTGGAGGCTGCCAGAGTCATCAGTGTAGAGTTTAGTTCTTATTAAGACAGTATTCAGTTCCTCAAGGGTCACATTACTTCTCACTAATTCCAAATTCTCCTTCTTACTGTGATTAAAATAGATAAAATAATGTCATTTATATATATATGGCTTAAAATAATTCAACCTGCCATTAATAATGATGATTTTTTTCAAATTTTTAAACATATTTTCTTTCTTGTCCTTATATTCTATTTTTAACTGAGTTGTAATTGATAAACTTTGTTTATATTACTAATAGCCATCTTGTATTTAAAATTAAAATACATCTTTACATTGATTACATTTATCATTAGTAGTATTTTAATGATTAAAATATAGCATCCATGACATCAAATAATAATAAGAAGAAAACTTTATATTAATGTGTTTAGTAAAACTTTAGGGATATAATACACTATGAGAACTTTCGAGATTGTATTTCATGTCTCACATTTTAAAGATGAGAAGATTATAAATCAGGGTGCTAAAGCACTTAGCCCTAATTCTAAGTTTGTTATGGACAGCCAAGATTAGAAAGCAAGTTTTCTATATCTTAGTGTGTTGTTTAAATTTGTTAAAAAGAAAACAATTATACTATTTTATCCGTTGAATATCTCTGTCATTGCTGACACATACTATGTAGAAAAAATAATTATATAGGTAATGATAGGACTAGATTAAAATTTATCCTTTGAGTCAGTTTGATAGACAATGAAAACAATTAACAATTACATTTAAAATGACCAACTTTATTGATTCATAAAACTTTCTAAATAGCAGAATAGCACTTAAAATTGAGCTCTCTGATGATATTTTCTTACTTTTCATAGATGAAGAGCTTTTCTCTGGGATGTACATAGATTTCATGGGCACAGATGCTGCTATTTTTCGAAGTTTAACCAAGAGGAATGCAGTCAGAACTGATCAACATAATTCTAAATGGCTAAGTGGTAAGAAGTTACAGCTTGCGTTTTTCTGGAGTATGCTGTAATAGAGTAATAGTTTGTAATTCCATAATAAAAGCTAGCAAAAAATAGCTAAAAAGTCAAAATTCAGTCCAATATATGAGTAATAAAAAGTCTGTACTGTATGATTCAAAAATGTAGGACAAAGGAATGAAATAGTCCAACAGTGATAATTCCTTGTTTTATTAACTATCATGTAATTGTCATAGATACACACAAAAGTGACAGCAATATTCCAAGCATCTTCTCCAGGTTATTAAATGAGAACATCTTGCAATTAAATATGCTTCCTACTTCATTTAATCTGCTTGTATGCCAAACTTAAAAACTGTCCTAAATTCATGATACTTGGCATAATGAGAAGATTTTTTATGATATTGATATGATAAATGTGTTGTATCAAAAAAATCATTTATTTTATATTTAGATTCCCAAATTGTAAAACTGATGTGTGTGTGCGTGTGTGTGTGTATATATATATATATATAAAACTTTTCCAAAATGTGATTAATATTTACCAGAAATCATATAGATAACTTTATTATTTTGTTCAATTATTACTGATTATTAGAGATTATGTAGAATTGCTATTTTTTTAAACAAAAAGGCCCTCATTTGATTTTAGTCCATGACTCCAGTCACTTACTCCTCTTGACAGAGGAAGAAACCACTAAGATCCTTGTCATTTTTATCCAGAGAAAAATTTCAAGCTGACTCTTTTTTGTCCAAAGTTTCAAGCTGACTCAATTTGACTCTTCAATTAACATTGCACAGCTAAGCATGAATCACCACAGCAAAGTGTTCTATTTCATTGATAGGGCAACACACCAAAAAAGCACTGATTGTCCATTTACTTCAAATTATTCTTTCCGTACATCTAGACTGTTCTAAAAGTTGTTTTGTTCTTGAAATAAAGAAACCCTGTATGATTTCAAATGACAGCATTTTTTCCTTGAGAAGTTTCCCCTCCATTTCATTTTGCTGTTTTTCAAGGGAAAAATAGTGTGTGTTTCATACTTTGGACTCCCAACTTCTCATTCTGCTTCAATGAATTTGAGTTTATGTGTACTAGATTGTAAACCACACTTTGAAAAGCAAACATTCTTTCAATAAAACGACCATCAGACTCCATGGGAAATAGCAGAGAGAAACTTTTCAAGTTTTTAAAACTTACCAAATGTACAAGGAACTTTTGTATTTACATTACTTCCATAATATATTACAGACAGATAAAAAATAGTCACATTAGCCCTATATTCCATGGTCTTGGACATTCTAAATTCGTAATGTTGAACTGAATACTATTACTGTTTTTATTTGAAATTTTGCCTATAGACATAGAACTATTCCTCTATACCCAATATGGAGTAGGCACGAATCTCTGATCTACTTGAAAGAACAGTACTTGGATTTATTTTCATCATGAGTATATATAATCTTTATGGTTTTTTCCAGAGCCTATGTTTGTGGATGCACATGTCATCCCAGATGGCACTGATCCAAATGATGCTAAGGTATATTTCTTCTTCAAAGAAAAGTTAACTGACAATAACAGGAGCACAAAACAGATTCATTCCATGATTGCTCGAATATGTCCTGTAAGTATCCATATGCTAATTTGAAGAAATATTATTAATTATATACATGTCTTTCCAATAGTTTATATTCATGCTTTTATTATGTACAGTGACAAATGAATAAGACACTGACAGAAAGAATTTAGTATAATGTATGCTTGCATGAGTCATGTGGGATCATCTTGAATTGTTTTATTTAAAGTCCTCAGGGAAATAATTTGGTTTTAGTTTTGAGTATTTTTTTACATTCCTTTAATGCATTTGAATAGCTAAATTGTGTATTACCAAAAGAATCTAGACAGCTCTTGCAAATAGAATACAACTAAATCTCAGTAAAAGATAAGTATTATGAAACAGTCTGTAGTAGTAAAAAATTAAGGAATTCTTTAGCAACTATAGTTCTAATTTTAAAGAGTAGCCAAAATGTTCTGTGTGTCAACAAGAAGCATACATACTATCAAAAGTTCATAAGTTTCTCTCACATAGTAATTTCATCATTATATTTGGTTATGTATGATTAGCCTCCTTGTTCAACAAATATTCTGGAAGGTTTTTATGTTAATTTATCTCAACATATTACAATATTCCATTGGTCATAGCCCACCTATTTCTTAGTCACTTGAAAGAAGATTTAAAAAAAAAAGCCATTAATAGAGATAAAACGGCCTCTGGATAGAGGTGGAGAAAAATCTCATGAGTAGACATTTGTGAATGATCCAAATGGTAATTCTGATTAGAACTTTTGGGGACTGATAAAGCAAAGAACGGAAAATAAATAAATAACAACAATAGTAATGCAATGCAGGAGGGAAAAAAATGAAACTATCTGGTATAGGGATATGCACACTCTCCTGACCAGAGAAGATTACAATGTACCACAATTTTTGTTTATAGCAAAGAAGAACAAGTATTAAGAAAAGGCATGAAAAAATCACTCATTCTTCATAATGTGGATGTTTCGATCATAAGTAATTAAATTTAAGACATATTTTCACTGCTAAGAATGTAGGAGAATAATACCAGTGTAATTCTGGACATTTTACAAAATAATAAGTCTTCAATATTTTTGTGATGTGCATATGGAGTTCACGTGTTCTTCAGATTATATGTAGTAAAGCCTAAAGAAAGTAGAGTCCATGTTGAATTTGCAATACCTTTCCATCTTTCCTTAAGTAACCTGAATCCTGTTTATAAAATGGTTTCAGAATGACACCGGTGGGCTGCGGAGCCTCGTTAACAAGTGGACCACCTTCTTGAAGGCAAGGCTTGTGTGCTCCGTCACAGATGAAGATGGCCCAGAGACACACTTTGATGAGTTAGGTATGTGGATGTGAGACGGAACAATGTTTCCGAAAGGGAGTTAGTAAGATTCATCTATTTCAGTGGCATCCCAGAAGATGCGCCTTCTATGAGTATTTGCAGCAACAACTACAAAAGGTGCCAATTTGAATTAATTATCTGAATGCTACTTGTCATTTTCCTTAAGTGTTTTTAAAATCTCTTTTACCATACTAAATGTGTGAAAGTTATGGTATACTTCTGTAATTTATATGTTTCAGTTTTTATAAATGAATATATATTTCATGTATGTCAGAACATCTAGCATACTAATTTTTAACATCAGCTTGTATAAGAATACACAGCCGGTAAAACAAATGCACACACTTGAGTGTGGATAGAAAAAAAAAAGATTAAAGTAGAAATTAGAATTGTGGTCCTGGTTATTGGCCCTGAAATTACATATTCCTTCTATGACATGAGAAAGATAAAATTTCCAAGTCAAACTAGGGCTAACAATGGTCTAATTCTGTTACGGAAAAGTTCTTCTCACTAAGAGTAGCCTTAATTTGAACTATGCTCACTAAGAGTAGCCTTAATTTGAACTATGCTAATGCCCTTTAAGAATATCTTGTCTTTTCTTTAATCTATTAAAATGTGAAATTGTGTCCATTCTCAAACTTGGAGGCAGATGATGAAGAATGGCATTGTACTAAAACTTTGATGGTCCTAACAGTGATAGCCTGAAATAGATGGTCTAATCAACCATTGTGTTGATAATGCAAGCAAATTTTCAGCACTAGCATCTCTAAAAAAAATTTCTAAGTAACATTTTATGACATAGACTAGTAACTCATCCCCCTCCCCTGGCCCCTTGCTGACAATTCTTTGGTTCTGTCTTTTTACTTTGAGTGAGAACTAGATACTATCAGCCTTTGTTCACATGTGAAAAAGCTAAATAATTACTAATTTTTGCTTGGGATCCTTAACTAGTTGTCTGGTATTTCTCCCTAGAGTTTGTATTCTCAAAGTAGTTCATCCAGGATTTTATGATAATCATGACAGTTGATTATAAGTTAGGATTTTCTTTCAGAAATCTACTTAGGGTTTTGTTACATATATATATATATATTCTTGTCTTTGCCTTAATATCGGGTAAAAATCTTATTGTCAGGGGAAGTATTTGTTTACATAAATATGTCATCAGTAATTTTGAACATAAGTCTTATTTCCCTATTTATATAGAAACATTGTAAACCATTAATTATCATGCTAGAACTTTAAACTATGGATTAAAAAGAAATTGAGAATTGTGATATTTTTAAATAAGAAAATGATACATTATCATTAAAAGATACTTAGAAAATTCACAAACAAGTTATAGGAATGCTCTTGTAACTTGATACCCAAGGACTCTCATGATAATAATTTCCCCTTTCTATCTTAGTGTGTATTTTTAAAGTTTACAAGGTTCTAATATGTATTATATGCCATTGTGGTTATTTCAGTTAGCATTTCTTTAGCTTTGTTGGTATGCAGATACGGTGTTCATAAATCCCATTACTCTCTGTACCCATCATTCAGTTGTTTCCAAATTATAGTCATGCTCCAAGAATAACTTTCTAACCCCTAGTTTTCATAGTTGAAATTATTTTCTTACAATACCATTGAAATTTGTGAACTTTAAAAGAATGGCATTTTCCTTTGTTATAGAGGATGTATTTCTTCTGGAAACTGATAATCCAAGGACAACTCTAGTGTATGGCATTTTTACAACATCCAGGTAATTGTTAAATGAGTATGTTTTGTGAATTAATAAAATTATTGAGCAATAGTAGTTCTAAAATATTCTTTATATTTTTAGGTCTATGAAATAGTCCTACCATTTTGTTTAGATTTCTAGATTACTAAATTATACTTAAGCTGAAAAAGAACTTTTCAAGGTTATTCATATAATGAATAATAAAACTGAAATTATGTTATTTTTCTCAAAAAAGAAAACATATGTTAGAATATAGAAATTAAGTAAAGAAGATATTTTAAGAAATAAACTATGAATACTGGCAATTTCCATGAAAACTTTGACAATTTGTCTTGCTGAGGTGACTTGAGTAACTTGAGGTGACAGTGGTATATAAATTTATGCCCATGTCCTAACTCTCCAGTTTGTGACTTTGTTCCTGGGTAGGAGATTTGTGAATTTTATCAGCTTTTCATTCTTTTTATTTTATTTTTTGGGGGGTCATGGGGCCTGAACTCTGGACCTGGGCTCTGTCCCTCAGTTTTTCAGCTCAGGGACAACACTACCAATTGAGCCACAGCTGGAAATGTCCAGCTTTTTCTGCTTATGTGGTGCTTAGGAATTGAACCCAGAGTCTCATGCATGCAAGGCAAGCACTCTACCATTGAGTCACCTTCCCAGCCCTTATCAGCTTTTAATCAGAAGCTTGCCACCTAACTTTTTTAATTGTAGTACATGTTTTAAAATAAGAAAATAAACTCTTTCTGTTTTTCTTTTTCAGTTCAGTTTTCAAAGGCTCAGCAGTATGTGTGTACCATTTATCTGATATACAGACTGTGTTTAATGGGCCTTTTGCCCACAAAGAAGGGCCCAATCACCAACTGGTTTCCTATCAGGGTAGAATTCCTTATCCTCGCCCTGGAACTGTAAGTATACTGCAAACTTTCCTTTTAATCACGTGGCTTAAGTTTGATACATCAAAATGCTTTCAAAACATGTAGTTGAAATGATTTTTAATCACAGAGCAGCAAATATTTGTGTGGCTCTAATTTCTAAATTATTTTACATTCTAAATTATTTTACTTTTATAAATAAGACACTTGTATTATAATATCACTTTTCTTGTAGCTATTTGCTCACATATGTCAAACATTTTTCCCTTTAAGTAATACATAGCATATATGCTTTAACTAAATATAGTCAAAAATTTGAAATAAATCTACCATGTTATCTCTAATTCACACATGATTATTCCTTTAATAAAACAATTGAGATTCCTCAAGCTAGAGAAAGTTGAGGAGCAATTAGTGATAAAATTCTTGGACTTCTAAAATGTTGAACTTTCAATTAGGCATGGTAGAATACCCCTGTAATTCCAGCATAAGCTGCATAATGAGATATTGTCAAGAGAGAGAGAAAGAGAGAGAGAGAGAGAGGATGAGAAAAAGTAAGAAGGAAGGGAAGAGGTAGAAGAGGGAGCTAGGCAGGTAACTTTTTCAAAGTTAGTTTATATGCTAATTGGAAATCAATATCTTCCCCCATTTAATTTACATAAATGTACAATCTATATAACTTTACAATCTAATCATTATCATTTAACTCTTAGAAGAAGAAAGAGTCTTCTTTTACTTTCTTGTCAGTTTTATACTTTAAAATCAGTATTTATAAGACAACTCTACCAGCTGACTCACTTGTTCAGGTCTTTCTGCTTCAGGTTATTTTTTCGATAGATTTTTTTTTTTTTGCCTCTTACATAGTTGGGATTGCAGACATCTACCACCAAGCTCAACTTATTTGCTGAGATAGAGGGGTCTTTGTAACTTTTTGACTAGGCCTACCATTGACCTACAATTCTCATCTCTGCCTCCTGAGTAGCTAGAATGATAGATATAATCCCCTGCAGGCAGCAAGTATTGTCTAATACAAATGACATGTTAGCCAAGTTCCAAAGCAGTGAAACCTTGATAAAGCTAGGAGTTATGAGCTGAAAATTCATGAGCATACTAAGAAGTCTGTCATTGTAAAAATAAATGTCAATATGATAGTCACCTCTCCTCAAATCATATTTCAAGAATGATTACATGGAAAGTATTTCATCTGAAATATTTCATATTTTACCACAGGAGTCATGGGTAATATATTAAAAATAACATTCTTAACAATGACTTCTCATTGAGCTGTAGCTTTATCATAGCTTTCATTAAAAAATAACCAACTTGATAGGACTTGGTGATGTAATTTAGGATCACCTTGAACTCAGCCCATGCTAACCTCAAACTTTGGATCCTCCTATTTCAGCTTTGAAAATGTTTTATCTTGTTGATTGATTGGTTGGTTGGTTGATTGATTAAAATACTGGGGATTAAGACCGGGACCTGTGTATACAACTCAAGCATTCTACCTCTTGAGCTTTGTCTCCAACTATTCTTTCCTCTTGAGAAGGAAGTTTATAGATGTCTGTGATAGTGTATGCTTTCATCTTGTTTTTTCTCCCTCTTTCAGATAGTACCCAGGTCTGAGCCTAAGGCCTGGCACTTGCAAAGCAGGTACTCGACCACTAAAACCACACCCTCAGGTCTTTTTTATTTTTGTTACTTTTTGCAGTAGCTTTGTGCTTTTTGTCTCAGTTAGTTGGATCATGATGTACTTATTTATGTTACCAATTAACTACCAATTAACTGGCACTTTACTGGTTTAAATGAGGATCTAGTAAATACTACCCACCTCCCATCCTGGCCTTGATTCTTGATTCTCCTGATCTCAGAGTGCCAAGTACCTCAGATCACAAACATAAGTTACCTTGCCTAAATTGATCATTCATTCTTTTGACCAATGTATATATAGATTAGTATAGAAGCAACTGACTTATAAAGTCAGTTCTGATATCTGTTCATTTCTGATATCTTAAGAAAAGAAAAATCTTCAAATAATCTACCGAAAGAAATGAAAGAGAACTTATGCTAAATCAGGCTAAATTAGAATTCGAGACCTCAGAGCCACAGGTTGACTACTGTTCTGCATCCAACTTGTACCCAGCTCCCAATAGTAAATTGTGTACATTATGAGCAGCTCTGCTAAAGAAAGGACACGTGCAGGGTGCCGGTGGCTCATGCCTGTAATCCTAGCTACTCAAGAAGCTGAGATCTGAGGATCACAGTTCAAAGCTGGGCCAGGCAGGAAAAGTCCGTGAGACTATTATCTCCAATAAACCACCAGAAAACTGACAGTGGCACTGTGGCTCAAGTGGTAGAGCACTCACCTTGAGCTGAAAAGCTGAGGGACAGTGCCCAGGCCCACAATTGACCAAAAAGAAAAGAAAAGAAGAAAGAAAGGACACCACAGTGGTAACCAGTAATTTTTAGCCATGGCAGAAACAATTTTTACCATAAAAATTGCTTTACATTAGGGATTGTTTTCCCTAAAGAATAGCCACCTCTGGATTTACTTGTCATCATGCTCTTCAAGCTCATGGCAACTTTAATGCCACCTTAATATGTGCAGGGAGCTCTGAGGATAACAGGAATAAAGGCTCACTAATGCAAGGAGCAAATCCTCTACACAATGTGGGAATAGAGCGACCATTTTAGTAAAAATAAACTCATTTTAAATTAGAAAATTCTGCTAACTGTTCACCATTTTTTTAGCTCCCAAGAATAAGCATTCTGCGCCCCCCCCCTTCTCCTGTTCTAAAATAGTGTGGAATAAGCCAAGGATTAGTGACACACATCTGGAACAGACTGTGAAAAAAGGGAGTAGTCAGTACTTAAGACATATTTCTATTATGTGGTTGTTTTACATCTGGTGTTGAGACCAGAACAGCTCCTTTAAATCCAAAAATTGTCTGAAGAGTGAGGCTTAGGGAATTAAAGCAGCAGGGTGGAGGAATGACCTCTGGAAGTTCTCCTGGAAAAGCATATTTCCTTGAAGATCAGGTCCCTCCACCCTTTGCTCAGCAAAACACCATGAAGTCAGCTCTGTGACTCACAGTGGCTAGTGGCTTCCCTGTGCTTCCTCATCATGCAGCCAGAAGACCTTAAGCCAAATGACCCAAAGCATTCCACTCTTCTGGGGTCAGGAATGCTGCCTCTGAAGTCCTCCCAATAAAGGATCAACTGTGATTGTCGGACTGTATTTCCCCTTGCCATAGTCTGGTTGCTGGGTCAACCCCATAAATATGATTGTGTTCTTAAAGAAATGGCACTGGCAGAAATCCTATATGCTCATTCTGATGTTCCCTGAAGGTGCTCCTTTTAAAACAAGCTTGATAGCTGTGTTAGCAAACATCCCAACCAGCAAGTCTGAGTCTGTAGGAGGAAGCCTGCCAATTGTGTCATGATGTTTTTCCATAAGTAACTCAAGTTTGTGGAAGAAACAAGACACCTTTGGTATGTTGCAAAGGGCAGCCAAAGACTGCCGACTCTCTCTGTGTCAGGCAAACACATTACATTATTCTGTCCCAATGTGTACAAATCTTTTGCAGAAATTTCTTTTGTATAAACTGTGTGTCCTGGTAAAAACAGCACCATTTTTAAAGTGCTCCATTCTAATATCTATTTATAAGTGTAGCAGAGAAATCTGCTTTAATAGCTCAGGAATAACATAGAGTTTTCCAAGTTACCTTAACCTTTATTTTCCCATTTTGAAACTTTTTCAGTGGCCTTCTGTACTTTCCTACGTTCATTAATATCTATCTAGCTATCTATTTTTCTATCTATCTATATTGATTAAGTCTATATGACAATGATTCATGAACCAAGTTCTCTTATTTTAGATTTGTCCTAAATTATGCTGGTTTTATTTTGCTTTGAATAAAGTCTATCTTACTGATGTATTTATAACAACTCATTCTTATGTCCCCTATGTCAAAATGCTTTGTGAATAAAAAGCGTTCAAAGAAGGGACATGCAAAACTGCAGAGCTTCTGTATGGCAAAGGACATAGCTAGCAAGATCAATAGAAAACCCACAGACTGGGAGAAGATCTTCACTTAGCTACACAACAGACAAGGGCTTCATATCTAAAATATACTTAGAACTCAAAAAACTAAATCCTCCAACAACAAAGCCTCAAAGAAACAACTGCCCAATTAATAAGTAGGCTAAAGACTTAGAGACTTCTCTGAAGAGGAAATAAGAATGGCCAGTAGACACATGAAGAAATGCTCAATTTCTCTAGCCATAAAAGAAATGCAAATCAAAACAACATTGAGATTCTACCTCACCCCAGTTAGATTGACTATAATCAAAAAGTCTAATAATGACAGATGTTGGAGGGTATGTGGACAGAAGGGAACCGTACTGCATTGTTGGTGGTAATATAAACTTTTTTTCATTTTTGTATGTTTTTTATTGTAAAATTACTATACAGAAGGGTTACCGTTACATGAGTAAGATAATGAGTACATTTCCTATAGAGCATTGTTACCTCCTCCTTTGTTTTTCTCCTACCATCCCTTCCCTCCCCACTTCCTCAACCCCCTCTGCCCCCCCACCCACTGCCAAAGTTGTAAAATTCATTTTCAAGGTAGTGTCTAGTACATCTCATTGTTACAATGGGTCAACCTGTATCCTTATTTAAGTATTTTGTTATTTCCCCTTCCACTCCCCAAATTAGAACAATGTATATACAAGATGCAGGGCACCAGAATCAAATACAGTGCAAACAGCTGTTATACTGTAGGGGAATAATATACCAAAGAAACAAAAAAACCACATACTACATTAAAATATATTAAAAAATAATAGCAATAAAGGAAAAAAGAGCTTGTGTTCCTATCTTTCACTTAACATCATCTTATATGTTCATATGTACATAGCTTTTAACCTTTTCTGCTTGTCCTAGACATATACTAGATATTGTAAATAAGAGAAAGCATGGCAAGAAAAACTGAAATAATATATCTCTACTAAACCAGCCCTACAAAAGA